TACTACTACTACTACTACTACTACTACTACTACTTGTACTTCTGCTACTGCTGCTACTACTACTACTACTACTTGTACTTCTGCTACTGCTGCTACTACTACTACTACTACTACTACTACTACGGCTACTACGGCTACTACTACTACTACTACTACTACTACTACTGCTGCTGCTACTGCTACTGCTACTGCTACTGCTACTGCCTGCTACTGCTACTACCACTACAACAACCACTACTACTACTACTACTACTACTACTACTACTACTACTGATGCTGCTGCTGCTGCTACTACTGCTGCTACTACTGAAACTGCGACTGCGACGGCTACTGCTACTGCTACTGCTACTGCTACTGCTACTGCTACTGCTACTGCTACTGCTCTTCTCAAAGCCAGCTGCCATCAAAGCTCTGCCAAGCCATCAAAGCTTCTTTTCAAACACTGAAACCCTACCTAGACCTGTAGACTTCTATGAGTACATCATGAGGAACCCTCACAAGGTAGTTCAGGTATACACTAGGCCAAACTAACCCCATTTTCGGGATGCGCACAGGTTCACAATGAGAACGATTTCGTTGAGCTGAAGCCTTGGGCGGTGCCGTGTGGCACGAAGCTTTCTACAGCTCTTGGGATGTTTTTGTTTTGTTTTTGCCTGCTTTCGGGGTAATCCCAACTTGGATACCCTGAAAGCCCTAAACCCCAAAACGCTGACAGCTGCAAAGCGAATTGAATCTAAGTCCCCAAATCCTAGGCCCTAAACCCTAAAATCCTAAAGCCTCATGCCCTGAGACCCTCAAGCCCTAAAGCCTTAAACCCCAAAGCCTTAAAGCCTTAGAATCCGAAACCCTAAAACCCTAAACCCTAAAGCCTGTTACAAATCCTTAAAGGAGCCCATGTAAAGCCCTTATAGAACCTTCAATAGAACCCGAAAGAGCTCAGGAAGTGGATGAAGCGGAACTGGGACAAGTGGCAAGGCCAGAGCTCCGAGTTTGGCTTTCAAGACAGGATTAGGGTTTAGGGCTTTAGAGTTTAGGGCAGTAGGGTTTCGGAGTTTAGGGCATAGGGCTTTAAGGCCTTCGGGTTTGAGGGTTTTTAGGGCTTTAGGCTTCTATTTAGGGTTCTACACGGGTTTGTTGACTCTCATGGAGATCCTGAGAATTTGGATTCGGTTCATTTGCCGATGCCATGTAATCTTCTCTGTATCATTCCAGTCAACCAGGAACAGGTTGGCTTCCCATGGGTTTACTACGGCTTCGAGTTTTCACCCAGCAAAAGCACGCACTGTTCTCATGCTGTGATGCTGCACTGCTGTTCACATGGAGCTCGGCTCCACTTTTATCCTTCAAGGCTGCCAGGAGCATTGGCCTAATTGGGCTTCAACACTCCTCCTCGGCTGCATCGTCCCATTCGGGAAGGGAAGCCGTGATTCTCTTCCGACCCTGGCTGCCTGGAGGCAATACCCACAAAACATCCTGTTCTCAGTAGATGTTACGTTCCTCAGGGTATGTCACGTCGGGAAGAGGTGCGAGCGCTCCAGGTGTTCTGCGATTGGTGGTAAATACTTGGATCTCGCACAAGTCTTGAAAAGCGGGGTAGATGCATCAGTAACCAAACCCTGGACCCCATGAGAGCTGCTACTCGGGAAGTGGGACCAGGGCCTGGCAGTCGTGGCAACATCCCCTGCGGGTGGGGTCCGAAGTTTATAACGGTTCTTCGAAATCCATCGGCAAACAAAGGAAGGTCGGGAGCAATTGATGAAGACGAGGTGTGCTCATGGAGCGGCCGAACTGGTGGCGCCGCAGGTGCTGCCAAATAGGAGGGAGCAGCCGGGGCGGCTTCAACATGAGCATGCGCGTAGGGTGTTGGAACCGTTACGTGGTTGGCTGAGCCCACGGATGGTTCCGTGGCACGGTGCCTCAAAGCCTTTGCGTCCGGTTCCCGTCAAATGGCCTTCTGGACAGCGGCGGGCGCTGGCCTGATCATCCCCATCGGCTCTCACAACTCTCACCTGAGGAGTCCCTTCTCGGTGTGGGCAACATGAACTCACACAGTAAGTCACACAGTGCTTGTTGTCTCCCACCAGAGCAGGGCACAATCACCATCATTTGCGGCCTCACTCAGCTCCGCTTGCGAAGGCAGCAACAGGAGTATCATCCACCTTTAGCTTCATCTTCATCTCTGCACTAGACCTTCGTCCTCGAAACTCTCAGAAGGAGGCTCGACACTCAGGCTAGAAGGATGGGCTGTTTCCGGCCGTCCTCGCGCTCTACTCGTGGTTTAAGGAGGACCATGGCTACTTTTCGATTGCTGGGAGGGGAAATAACTAAACAGACCCCATAGCTCATTTAGGGTTTGGTGTCTGGGTTTCGACAAGTGACAAGGCCTTCGTCAGGCTGTCTGCCAAATGCTCCTCACCTGGGCAGTGCTCCACCTCCAATTCGTTCCGAGTGTTCATTGTCCTTTAGGAATCCACCTACTGCTTCTGCCAAGATAATTGCTGCAACGTTGTCTACCAACAAAGTTTTGGATTATGGCTTCCAGTGGTTGGCCTTGCACCGTGCCCTCGCAGGGCGCAATCACCGTTGTGTTCAGACTAACCAAGGTTTGCTTACACGTTTTCCATACCACGCAGCACTCATCATACTGGACCTCAATTCCCCAAATCGAATAGTCACCAATTAAACAGTGCAAACGAAGCATGGCACCAAAGAAAGCCTAGTATTCTTTGTTCATGCTCTAGGATTCTGCTGCCAGGCCTCTCGACTTGAGCGGGTGCTCTCACGGTCCAACTCGACATGAGCCCAATGCAGAAAGCAATATCCCGGCGCATGCGTTGGGCCAACCACAATGGCTTGCCAGTAATCTTCTGAGCTGCACCCAGCTGCAAATCACTCGTGACATTCTCAACTGGCGGTATGTCACGTGCCCACTCTCTGGGCAAAGGGGTGGTTGCTCGGGCTGTTTCGCCCACACTGTGACTTCGCAGGAGCTCGTCAATGTCACTTTCCTGATTCAGGCTATAACCCACTATTCCATTGTCGTCGACCTCCTCATAGATGTCAACTCCCAGGAACCTAAGTGGATCCTTTGATGTAGCCGTTTTCAGATCGGCACACTCGCTCGCAGCGCTCTCTGCTCCAGGTGTGAGAGCCCGTACAGTAGCTATGTCCCCGTCTGAAAGGGCCAAGAGGTCATCCACGTACAGTAGGGTGGCCTAGGCATGAGCCGTCGGTAAGCCGGATGTACCACACATTATTATCGCTCGGAAGTCTTGCAAGCCGAGCCGAGCCGTGTAGTGTGGTCCAAGTCGCGGTACACAACACACTGTCACGATGATTGGCCCACCAAGCCGGTAACGCACTGAACCTCTACAGCGCATGGTCTAGTACCCAGAGTTCGTCTGGGACTTAGACCCATATCTTTATGTTGTGCCCGTATTATAATCAAACTGCAAGGGATCATGAAAAAAGGCTGCTTCTATATCGGTTTTAAGGGCGCGCAAAAGAGGCTTGCAAGCTGGTAGGATTCAGGAGCTTCCTGGGGTCTGTGGAGCTTTATAAAGCCACAAACGCAATCCTTCGGTAGGGGGTGAGGGGTCTCATAATTCAGGCACATATATATATATATATATATGATTAGCACTTTTTGGCGCGGAGTACTTCAACGCCCCAGCCTGAATCATCGAAATAATCTCCCTCAGCAGTCACTATATACCTTTATACCAATCCACTAATGTAGGAACCTGAGTAAGAAACCTTGGGTCGTCATTCGGGCTTGCTACATGGATCCTAATATTGGGATTATAGGACCAGGGCTTCTCAATCAGATTCTTATATCATCATACATTCAGTGCCCTATTCTCCTTGAGGTTCCAATTCTTATGGCCCCTTTGTCAACGAGGCTACTCTTTCTACACGGGCTCCCTGGCCATTGAGAGGTGCGTGACGGCGACCTTGCAGCATCTATTACGCTACTATAGTACCTAGTACTGATACGAATAATGCTTGGCCTAATATTCCCGTACCAAATGTAATACTGAAACTAACCCTTTCTGGTTCAATGTTGGCACTGTTCTTTTGTCAATGGCAAATTAATCACGGTTTGGTAGGTTTGCTATTCCTGCCGTGGTTTGCTCACATCTTGAGATTCGAATCTTAAGAGGCCAAAAAGGGGTTTAGCTTGTGGGGTTTTAGTAGGGATTAGGGTTACCATAATACGGTTCCCGTTAAGGAAGCCCTAACCCAAGAATCTTAAACGCCCCTGTTGGCCCTCCAATCATCGAAGCTGAAATTCAGAGAACAGAGGACATCTTTGGGTGCCCTCTTACAAGGCACAAGCCGACGTCGTGATCCAGGATTGCAGTATACCGAAGACAGCTTTACTGGAGTGACAGTCACAAGGCAATGGTCTCACTGTTTCAACCAGGCACCAGTTCAGTTTAAGTTTCGCTGCCCTGCTGCATGACGGTCATGGTCACTAATACGAATCTCGGCGCGAATTACGCAGCATCGCTGGTGTTTAGAGCTCCTCAAGCCCGTCGGCTCCCTCGAACTCGTAAGCTGGGGAAACCTATGTAGCCAGGTGACCTACGCCATCAACGTGCAGCCCGTCATTGCTTTCATTGGTGGCTTGCAATTTGACGTGATGCCGAAGCCGCTGGCTTCGGTGGCTCGGGCTTAAGGATAGGGTTTAAGGTTCACATTAATGTGATGAATAAAATGTATGCGGCTGAAAGCCGAAACCCCACACCCTGTGGTAGTTCGTATTCAGGTAATTTTGTGCCTGCGCTTATGCACCAGTTTAGGGTCTTCTACACTTTGGGCGTCCGTCAATCTTCCTGACGCAACATGCCCAGAGACTCCAAAACCCCTTCATCAAGGGATGAACCTTAAATGACATGAGGGTTCCTCTCATATTTCAAGATCTATTCCCAAAAAATCCGGATTTGGGAGTATCTTGGTGTTTTGGGCCATCAACGCACCAGAGTGGGGATGTTTAGGATGGCCCATCGTCAAAGTCAGAACGAGTGCATGAACCCTGTATACTCTGAATGGATGCGTAATTTACGGGCTTAGCAGAATCACAGTACAGCAGAATGTATCCCCGAGACCGTATTCTGATTTTAAGGCCCCTCCTACCTGTGTGGGGCTGCGTTTTGCCCAGGCCCCATTTTGGTATCCAAAAGAGGGCGTCCCTCTGATTCTGAGGACCCCTCAGGGATCCGAGTTTAGGTAGAGCTTCAAGGTTTAGGATTTTCTGGTTTAGGATTTAGCGCTTTGGGTATAGGGTTTAGGGGCAAGGAGTCTGGGTTTGTAGGGTTTAGGATTTTAGCGGTTTGCTTATAAGGTTTAGGGTTCAGAATTCTACCGTTCTAGGGCCTCTAGGGTTTATAGATGTATAGTGTTTAGGGTTTAGGCTTTACACCACCCGGGTTGATGCGGCAAAGCGCAAAGACGCAGAGAACCTTTAAACCCTAGTCCCAAGGGTGCAAGCACCTGAAAAATCTTGTTAATGTATTCTCCTAATATCAACTTACATAGCTACTCTGCTAAACCCAACTACCTCGTTAGTCTACGGCCCTGAAGGATCAGTAGTTCCATTCCTAGGGCTTCAACATAAAGCCGCCAACGGGCCCTCACGCGACAACAGTTGAATCTTGAACCCCACCTTACCTCTAGTCTCCTTCGCAGTTCCTGTTTTTTGGTACCCTAACGTCAAGACTGGAAATATCCTAGGCCTTAAAACATACTGGATGCTGCAACCCCCAAACCCAGAGCCCAACAAACCCAAACCCAAAACCCTAAACCCCAAACCCTACACCTCCTACAGACCAGGTTGACACGACTGTTTGCTGGCCGAAGGGGCGGCCCGACGGCCAGGACTTGAGCATGCTTCGCACCGAGCTCCTGTGGCTTTACTTGGGTTAGGGTTTGGGGGTATAGGGTTTAGGGTTCAGGGGTTTAGGGTTTAGGGGTTTAGGGCTGCAGGGTTTGATTAGGGTTTCGGGTTTACCTAGTCTTCCATAAGTAGGGTTGGATTGATTTAGTTTTAGGATGACTTGCTGGGCTGGGGCTATTCTTGGGTTTTGTCATGGAGGCTTGCAGTTTTGGATAGGGTCTTTGGGTTTTTAGGGTGTGGTGGTTTAGGTTTTTGTGGTCACTAGGTTGCTATTCGGCAAACTTGCTGATTTCCTAGGGTCCTACGAGGGTATGTATTCGTAATACCCTAAATACTGCTGGGGCACTAATATCACTCGGGATCCTTTCTCTTTCTGGTTTTGTTTTTTTCATAGTTTAACAGGCAGCCCATCTATGGTGTTCCGATATCATTAAGTTTCAGTCTCGTCCTGAATTTGATGCCATGCTGACCTGCCCTAAACCCTAGACCCCGAACTCGAGAAGTAAGGATCAAGTCCAGCGGCGTGCTGCTCTATTCCAAGACCCTTCGGTTGAACAAGCGCTCCCTGGGTCCAAGATTGACGGTTGGTTTCGGGTCTAGGGCTTATAGGGTTTAGGCTTCTGTGCGCGGGTCAGAAATGGAGGGTGTAGTATAGAAGCGTGAGTAGCTGGTATAATTGCTAGCAAAGACTCAGTCTACTGCTGTTTAGCCCGCTACATTCGGGGATTGGACTTTGACCGCGTGGTGGCAATCGGATCGGTCCTCCCTTTCTTTATTTCCATCTGCCTCGCAGCTTGTCCCACGAGCACAAACCGCGCATACACTCTACACACACCCACACACGAACGTATCTATCGACTTACCTACCTCCCTCCTTGTCTACCGACCTACCGACCTAATTTGAGCGGGTTGTCCTAATCAAGGAGAAAAAACTTTAACTCCTAGTCGGGTTCCTTGATTAATTTCACATGTACTAGTCCTTAATTAAGGACAATACTTAAATACTGTTGGCGTTCCTAGAATACTTTAAGATGCAGTCCCTAATGGAGGGGTTTTGGAGTATCTGGGAAACGACTTGAACATTCCCTGGAAGGGTGGATCTGGTCCGGTGTGGGGCTTATAACTTGGGGCTAAAGCGAATCATGATGCTGCCAGCTGCGTGGCCGGGGGGCGAGCGCCCTCTGAAACACTACGCCATTCGTGACACCGTTTTTGTCCTCGCACAACGAGTCGGCCTCCATCCTGAGCATGAGTGCCCAGGTCTGTTGCTGCCGCAGTCCCCGGAGGACATGAGGCATGGAGGTCGTCGCCCCGCGGACTTGTGCCTGCCTGGCGTGGCTTGGATCACCTGTTGCGTTTGATTTCGCTGTCACGGCGCCGCAGCGACAGGCGACCCTTGCCCAGGCTAGCATGCAGGCTGGAGCTGCGGCGGAAGCCTATGCTCGTCACAAGGAGTAGCACCTTGGTACGGCAGCGGCCTGCGAGGCGCATCCAGTTCGTGCCTTTAGTTTGTTGAAACGACCGGGAAGCGTTGCTGCCCGCGCTGGTGCGGAGCCAGGACCACCTCGAAGAGCTTAGTGTCGTCGTGCACTCTTTCCGTGCCCGGGCCGCCCTGCGGCAGCGTGCAGACCTGGAGGCGTAGTTGCCTTAATTGGCCTTAATGCCTTTTGATTACTTCGCTGGGCCTTCTGGTGTCGTCGCCCGGGGCGTCGCGGTGGTGTCAAGGGGGCTGAGGGCCGGCCGTGGTGTGCTCGGGGGAAGGATGATTGCACGGTGCACAGGTGGGAGTTCTCGGCTCTCGCCAGCTAGACTTTGGAGCGGCTCTGCTTGGGCACCGGTCACACTGTGACGCAGCCTCGGTTCCCATTGTGTTCGTTTCGGTGAGGGAGCTGCATGCACATCTGGCGGCACCCGTGCATCCAACTACTTGCTTCTGTTATTTCCACAAGCATTGTAGTACCACGTAGTACGAATGCTGCTATCGTAACATACGACCTTGTATGCGAAACCTCAAGTTCCGGGTTCTGGGTTTGGGGCTAATGGTGCAATGTACCTAAAAGTTAAGTACTTAGGGCTAAAGCAAACCATTAAGGGTCCAATGGACCTACTTGGAGGATCATGGGTAGTTCTAGATCGGGTTCTAAGAAGGAAAACTATGGTTGTGACACATTTCTAGTGGACTCATAACCCTACTTATAACTACCCATGAACCTCCAAGTGATAGTGAGGTAATACTAGTTTTGTAGTAGCATTTGGGAGAGTATCTGGTTAACCAGTACTTGGACCCCTACGGAAAGCCAGAAAGTTGGAACATCACTGTCCCCATGCCCTTCAGGAAAAGCACAGGAAATCACAGGACCTAATCATCCTGCATCCTATGTCCATGAACCAACACTCTGAGGTTCGCTGTAAGTGGGTCTGGGGCTGCAGGTTCTGGCTTTAGCATGCAAGTTTGGGGTTCAGGTTCAGGTTTTGTCGGGTCCAAAACCGGTCCCAAGCCTAGACCCTGAAACTTAAAACCGACCGCGCATGAACGCGCTAAGCCCTGCACCGAAAGCTGAAACTGTCAAACAAGGCCTGGACCCAAAACCCCCAAACCCCAAACTCGAATCGTCAGACCCTCAAGCCCTAAACTATCGTTGACAGCTTAGGGACCAAGGTTTCGGAGGCGGAACTCAGTTCGTCCCGCACCACGTCAAAGCAACCAATGCCAATTTCAAGAATCCGACCAATCCCCGAAACTGGGATCTGATTTGAAGCCCATTTTTTGTTGGCAGTGATATCTTTTTGCTTAGGGTTTAGGGTTGCTGCTTTTTGTTAGGGTTGCGGGTTTCTAGGGGGATAGCAGGTACCTGATTGTGTTCTCTGTTGAGTCCTTCTGTTTCTCTGTCAGCTCCCCTAACCCTGTCGCAGGTAATGCCATGTCCAGGACGAAGCTCATGCAAATGAACGAAAGTCTCGAGGCGGGTTGCCTACACACCCTTCATGCCTCCGTAACAAGGATTATGACAGGGATCCATACCTAGTGTTGAGGTTCGCCGAAAGCAGGAGTTTACTAATCAGGAGACGACAGTTAGGATCTCGATTTGGGTCTCGGGTGCCTGTACATCCCAACCCTAGAGCCCATATCCAAAACCCTGAGCCCTCGGCCAAAGAACCTGATGCCCGAAACGCTAAAGCCCTACGTCCTAAAGCCTCAAACCCCAAAACCGTAAGTCCTCCAAACCCAAAGGCCTCAAAGCTAAACCCGTAAGCGAGGCAGACATCGCCTGAAAAATGCCCCAGGTCCACGAAAGCCAGAACCGGTCGTCGGAGGAAAGCAGAGGTAAGGGAGGAGACGGAGAGTTAGAAGGCCCCGGGGCAGAGCTTCACTTTGTAAAGATTTCTGGGGATTTCTAGTGGTGTAGGGCTTAAGTTTTGGGGTTCAGAGTTCAGAGTTTATAGGGTTCCTTAAACTCGCAGGGTTCTTAGAAGAGTCCTAATGGATCGGGTGTACGTTCGTTGCAGAGCTTTGCATGTTTCTATTTGGTTGGGCCCTGAAGCCTACACCGAGATCCTTCTTCTAGTGCCGGATTTTGGGTTGGGGTTTCGGGTTTAGGGTTTATCACTGGCCCCCAGTCCGGACCTGTCAAATCCAAACCTTGAAAGGTGTCTTCGAGTGGATGGAGGAGGAGGACTTCTACCTGGCCTCCGCGAACTATACACAGGATGGGAACCGAGGGAAGCTAGCACTCGTTGTTCCCCCTGCGGAAATGTGTTCTTGAATTTGTTGAATCAGGTCAAGAGTTTGGATTCTGATTCGTTCCATCTTCCCGAGTGATAGCTTGTGCTCACAGTCATCATACCACAGTAGAAGAAGCATCGCAGAAGATAAGAAGTGCATACACATGAAGGAATGAAGAGAAAGCTGAGATTAGTAGTAATAGTGGAATGGTAGCCAAAGCAGCACTAGGAGCACAGCTCATTTTCGTCTCGCCTTGGTACCGATGGCAGTGATACCACGTGGACAGTGCTGGTAGTAAGTAGCGGTAGTGGTAGTGGTAGTGGTAGTGGTAGTGGTAGTAGTAGTAGTAGTAGTAGTAGTAGCAGTAGTAGTAGGAAAAGTAGTAGTAGTAGTAGTAGTAGTAGTAGTAGTAGTAGCAATTGAAGGAGGCCTCGCTCTCAGTGTTGTCAGCATGCAAGAGAACCAAGCACGATCAGT